ATGGGTCATCATCACCTTCAAGCATAAGCCCCTCAACTTGAATCAAATTAAATCTAAGACACCAAATCCTAGGCATAATATAAATCCTTGAGCAAGTATTAACAATATTGTGAGAACCAATTTGCACAACACCTACTTGTAAATGCCAAGCTTCATGAAATGATTCATCAGCTTGAGTTCCTATCCAACAAGACATCATAAGCTCCCCCATACAACGTCTCCCGCATTGATCCTCTAGTACATGCCATTGTGGTGCTAGAGCACTATCAGTTGGAAACCTTGTAGAAATATCAGAAATATCCAATGAAATCCTACCCATATATTCATACTGCCTAAGAGCATCATCCTTCAGAACAATCTCAACGCTTGAAATCTCTTCGGTTTCACATTTATCTTGGTCAAGGGCAAAGACTTGGTTCCATCCTGGATCTGAGTTGCCTCTGAAGCACAAGGTTGTCCCTTGAAAATCCCCAGCTTTCACTTCCACATATGGAGCAAAATTGTAATGGCCATGCACAAACAAATTTCTGGCTCTGACAATTTTTACAAATAAAAAGAGATTGATTTCAACAAGGTCAGACTCAGTTGTGATTCCCCCATTGCCTGTAATGTTATTGGCTCCAATGTTGGGAGAAATGACCTTCAAACTAAAATCCACTTTTTCATTTGCCATGTTTGATAATAGCAGCTGCAAATATAAGAAAAAGGAAGTATTAAAATTAAATTAGTGTAGTAATCATCCCAAAATACCTTGATAATCAAAAAAATATACACCATCTATATGGGAAAGGCTTTAAAAAACGATCCGTTTCTGCAAAAAACGGCCACGACAAAACGGAATCGGAAAGTGCCGATCGTTATTTTATGATGAAAAAGAAATTGTGGTTAATTCACACTGCGACTAATGCAATCAGTATCCTATACCAACCGAAATCGTGACAGTCTTTACGTGACTACAACAGTTAAATTAACCATGAACTGTCGCGGTCATGAACTGAATCAAACCATCGAACTAAACTGAAGTTAAAATAATCAAACCGTTATGTTTGGTTAATGAACCAAACCATATTGCACAAAATAGTTCTAGAACCGAAACTTAAACCGAACCGAAACTGAAACCGAACCAAAACTGAAAATACTAAAAAAGTTTTAATTTTTTTTTTTAATTTGAAAAATAGTTTAATGATTCGGTTCTTTAATAAATGGTTAGGTTTGGAAAATTTGTTTTCTAAAGGTTCGGTAGGGTTTGGAATTTCTAAACGATAAGGTTTGGTTATGAGTAAATTGAAATTGTTCGGTTTAGTTCGAGTGAACTTTTACTATGACTTGGTTTGGTTCGGTTTGATTTTCCCATTGAATTGTATCATGAGCAGCCTTAAACAAGAACGCGACAGTTATTTAAAACCTTAACAACAATGATTAGTTTTGAGCAAATCAACAAGTAATCAACAGCAATCCCCAATTTTGAGCAAATAAAGAAGTGATCAAGTAAACAACAACAATGAGCAAATGAAATCATTCTAAACATATTTTTGACAAAATTTGCATCTATTAATAGGCTAATAACAGAGGGTGAGAATGAACAATACTTACTACCGCCGCGCCGGTAAGACTTACACCGCCGGAAGCACCGACGGTGAACCAACGGAACGATGAAGTTGAACGTAGAAAGGGCAAACTTTGTTTCAGATTGGTGCGTTTACGAGGGAAAAATTATTTAAAAAGTTTGAAATATTATAAATTAATAAATAATTTTCCAATTTTGTGTTGTATTCTACATATATAGAAAAAAAGTAATTTAATTTCATGAATTTAGCATCGTGTTAAATATAACAAGAAAATCATTAATTCCTAATGAGCCAAATATGGAAGTTTTATATTGGAAATTATTTATTCAACTTTTACATTAGCTACTCTTTTAAATTAATATAAATTGTTTTAAAGTGTTTTAAAGATACATGTTTTAGAAAATCATAGTTGATATTCTTTTTTTGAATTTAATCATAGTTGATATTTTATTTTTAATAAAATAAGAAATTAAGCTTTAAGATATAAAATATTTTTACACATGTAAAAAATATAATGTTTATTGAAATTAACTAAAAATTAATATTATAGAGTGATTTGATTTGATGCATTTTAAAATATTATATATAGAATTTAATTGGTATGCACTATAAAATTAATATTATATAATTTTACACTGTCAATTTATCGTATCCCATCTCACCAGAATGTATTGATACATTTTTATTAAATGACAGTGTAAAATTATTTTATACTTTTAATGTATATCAATTAAACTATATATATATATATATATATATATATATATATATATATATATATATATATATATATATATATATATATATATATATATATATATATAAATAAGTGAATACTAATGGCAAAATCGATAAAAATAGTAATCTTAAAATGATTATCAAATATTTAAGAGAATCTTATTACTATAAAAAAAGTTTCAAGAAATTTTCTATTAGTGTTATTCAATAGATTTATTAAAAAATATATATATACTAATTATTTTAAAGTTGCGGCTAAGGTGTGTTGTGTGTCATAAATCATTAAGAATTAACAATTTTGAATGTGTTTTAAAATGATAAAAAAAATATATAAGTGAAGATTAATTTTAAGTTAAAAAGAAAATAATATTTGTGAAGTGTTGCAATAAGTTTGAATTTGAAAATTTGAAACACTTTGTGAAATGTTGCAGAATGAAAATATAAAATTCTTGAAGAATGTTGTTGTAGACGAAATAATGTAACTTCTGGTAAAAGTAACTTTTGGCAAACACTTGTAACTCTTGGTAAAATGATGTTGTTTCACGAAGGGTCGTAACCTTGTGAAACAACACCAATATGACCTATAAATACTTCATTCTGGATTCAGAAAAACACAAAAGAAAAACATACATCCTCTTCACTAAAATTCCAAACACTCTTCCCTACATTTGAGTTTTCGTCGATCTTGTACAATCTCGAGTATAGACTGAATTATCCTGAGTATTCCTGCGTTCCAATTCTAAAACATTTGAGAGTGCTTGAAATACTTTTAAGAAAAGTGACTTCGTTCACGATTCTAGCCTCGACCTATTCGATTTTATATTAATTTTCTAATAATCTTAAAAGTATTATAAATAATGGTAACTGAGACATCCATATCAAGAAGCAAAACAATAATCATCATCAAGAACCCGAAATGAGTAAAAAACAAGCACCAAGAAGGAAGATTACTTATTTTGAATGTGGAGAAATAAAACATGTTAAAAATGAATGCTCTACACTTCAAAAGAAGAATAAATTCAAGAGCAAAAAGAACAAAAGACATAAAAAATTTATTTTTAAAAAGTTGTCAGCACTTTTTAAGTCAGGTTCGTTGCACTTTTTATGTCAGATTTGATTAACCGAGACTTGACACTGAAACCAATCATTTGTTTGACCAAGATTAGGTCAAGACTGCATACGCACCTGACTTGATAACTTTGTCTGATCCTTGATTTAATTTTGTAATGCTTGAGCTTAGGCGTCAAGAAGACATGAATCCAGAGGCACAATGGTTAGATGCACAGATGATAAGAACGCTATGATATATACAGCTCGCGAACCAGGGCCAAAAATTAGGGTGTAACAGATAGTGCCTAGTTTCAAATCTCTCAGTGTTATACCAGACCCAAAACACAAGTCCTAATAGAGGCCAAGGTACACCTCCATACCCTTTCATGATTTAACACCCATAAATGAATAATCTCCCCCTTACCTGATTATTCCAACAAAGATGAAAGAACCCTTGAACTTTTTCCCTATGCCCTTCTTCTCCTTCCTTTTGCCCTAAGTCATCTTTTCTCTCTTCCAAGGTTTCACGTACTATGCAAAAACCACTTCTCTCCTTTTTCAAATAACCTTATTCCTCTTAATTGTAGGTTCTCTCTCTATTACCCCTAACTCATCTCCACAATTTACCAGCTCACCTTTAATTCCTTTACACATCCTTATTTTCGCTTTTGTTTTAATATTCTAATATATTCACCTAATTAAATAAATACTCTTATTATTTAATCACTAAAAGAACTCTAAATAATTCCATTAATTTCTACACCGCCTAATTATTTTAATTGACCCAACCCATCAATAATTCAAAGCATACAAAAACACACATAATTCACAAATAATTTGATAAATAATTGAAAATGGGGTGTTACAATTGGAATATCCGCTACCGGTGTTAACGAGGCTACCACTTATGGTATTGGAGTCGGAGTTATTAATGGGGTCAGTATCGAGCATTTGACTCTAACAAGGTATGATGTCCCTACAGTGTCAACCGTCAATGTGACCGGCAGTTCTGTGTCGAGAGTCTCATTTCGGGGACGGGAAGTACTTTTTGGAGGAACCATTTTAACCAAAATCCTACCACTTCTCAGACACATAAACTTTCAGCAATGAAAATATCTCATGTTAAAACAGAAATAACAAAGTAATGCAACACCTTTTTGTAAAACTAAAATTTTTGCACAAAAACGTCCATTCGGACATTGCCAATTTGTTTGCAAGTGTTTTTAACAAACAATCACGAGTTTAGTTCACTTGTGAGATTAATTTGAAAAAGTGTGTGTAAAGTGAATGTGAATGTCTAACGCGTTTAAACCGTGTGTGTAAAACCGCCCAACCCGTTTAAACTAATTAAGAAAATAGGCAGAAATAGACTTATATGTCTTAACTACATGTTGAAATGAATTAGACTTTTAGACCCGAAACCACTCAACCTGCCCCGTTGTCCTGCCGTAACCAATAGTATGAAATGTGGTCTACGGAATTTTTCAACTTTTTGGGAATTGGTTCAACACACTTTCATTTCAATCAATATTCGTATACTTTTTTCAAAATTTCATTTATTCAAAATTTTAGGCGTGTTATAAATATATATCTGAGATTAATAAACTAAAAATTCATTTCATATAGTCCACTAAGTTTTTGATCATGATAGAGCTATCAAACACATTCAGATTCCAATCCCATAACCTCTCATCTTTCACACCCTTCTCTCCTATAAACAACAACCCTTTCAAAAATCATCTACTCAACCATAAACCAAAGACAACGAAACTAACGATCACTGCAGCGAGAAAAGCACCTATCGAAGGGGTTAGTCAAGAGTTGAATGATATAGCTTCTTATAACCTTGATTTTGCATACTCCCGAAGAACAGTTCGTGCTGCTTTTACTCAGGTTCAACAACAGCTTGATCATTGCTTGTTTAAGGTTTGTTTTGTTTTCAATTTTCATCTCTTCAATTTTTTATTTGTTGTAGAACCAGACACTGACTGATGTTTTGATCTGTTTTTTATCCTAGGGCGCTCCTGCTGGAATTAGAACAGAAGAAGTGAGATTTTCTGCTTTCCCTTTTTTACCTAGGATGCTCCAAAAACTTATAATGTTTTTTTTTTGTTGTTGTAATCTTTGGTTATTTTGTTAGCTTGGTAGAGAAAGTTAATTAGTTTTGTTTTTGATTTGATTTGTTAAGTAGTGGTATGAAAGGAATTCTAGAGGATTGGAAATTTTCTGCAAAAGCTGGATGCCAGAGACTGGAACTCTAATCAAGGCTTCTGTTTGTTTTTGTCATGGATATGGTGATACTTGCACATTCTTCTTTGAAGGTTTGGTTTTCTGTATTTTCAAAATGTTTTTTTTTTGGGAATGGTGTTTGGATGTTTGTTTCTGTGGAAGCTAGTGATTCATTGTGTGGAAATTGGGTGTGGATTTGGTTTTTTTTTCCTTCAGGTGTAGCTAGGAGAATCGCTGCATCTGGGTATGCTGTTTTTGCTATGGACTATCCAGGCTTTGGACTTTCAGAAGGATTACATGGCTACATACCTAATTTTGATGACCTTGTTGATGACGTTATAGAGCATTATACTCAAATAAAAGGTGTGTAGGATTCATTAATTTAAGCTATGAAGTATTGATAGAGACTCTGATACCAAATACAACACTAGGTTGACACATAGACACTAGTAACAATTTGGGGGAAAAAAATGATCGAATGTAACTACATATTTTGATAACGTGTTGGGAGGTTAAGAATCAACACAGGAATAAAGTAAGTGTAACAGAGATGAGGATGTTGTATTGGATGTGTGGTAAGACTAGACGGGATAAGATTAGAAAGAACAATATTAGAGAATGTTGGGGTAGCACCGATAGTAGAAAAGATGGTGAAAAATAGGCTTAGGTGATTTGGGTATGTAGAGAGAAGACTGGTAGATTCTGTTGTAAGGAGAGAGGAGTCAAACAACTATTAAGAAAGATCTCGAGATTAACGAATTGGAGAGAAACTTAGTTTTGGATAGAACGTTATGGCGGAATTTGATCCATGTTGCTGTTGTTGGTGTCAAATATCATCACATATCATAGATATTGAACACACCTTTAATCTAAAGTGTTAGTTAGAAATACACAAATAGAGGTGGGTTTGATTCATCACTTTATAACTATGAATTATTGAGAAAATGGAAGTAATTGAATGTGATAGCATGTGTCGGTATCATACACCAAATACACCTTTAAATTGAAGTGTAAGTGTAAGTGCTACATAGGCTTTAGTATCCCCGGTGTCTTATGGTTAGTTAATGTTCTATTTTTCTATTGAAAACACATGGTGTTGTTGATCATGATTGTGTTTCAATTGACAGCAAGGCCTGATATGAGAGAGTTACCTCGATTTCTGCTGGGACAGTCAATGGGTGGGGCGGTTGCGCTAAAAGTTCATTTGAAGGAACCAAACAATTGGGATGGAGTGGTACTTGTAGCACCAATGTGTAAAGTAAGCTCATTCCTCCTCTCTATTTCTACACCTATTCTCATCAAGCTCTTGTCACTTTAACTAAAAAGTGATATTGCTGTTGCTAACTTGCTATTTTGAACATTGATACAATTTGATTCCTAACTTTGGCTAGAAAAAATGATAACCAGAGTTAATTTTAAAACTAAAATGTTAAACGAGTGTATAATATGTTAAGGGCTTTTCCAAATTTGCATGTTAAGAGACATACCAAAAATGTTTTGTTTTCTAGTACATAAAAACTGGGCTGTTACAGTTTAACAGTCAGGCGAAGAACGACGGCCTCACTTGCCGATTTGTGTTAATGGTAAGATTGCAGATGATGTGTTACCACCAGATGCAGTTATGAAGGTGTTAACTATTTTGTCAAAAGTGATACCAAAGGCAAAACTCTTCCCAAACCAAGACCTAGCTGAACTGGCCATCAGAGAACCGAGCAAAAGAAAATTGGTTAGTAACTCTTATACAATGAAATCAAAAACCATTTCTCTTGCATATGCTTTCTTAAACTAATACTTTTGAATGATGTTACTTTTTATCGTAGTTTTAAATCACAATTGTAATTATGGCCGCAGTTCCATTATAATTTCTGGAATTTCCTTGCAACATCTTATATTTAATCCTAGTGCTATTCTTTATAGGCTGTTTACAATGTTATCTGTTATGAGGATAATCCACGATTGAGAACTGGCATGGAACTTTTAAGGATCACAAAGGAAATTGAGACACAAGTAGAGAAGGTTTTTTTTCTTTACTTAATCATTTACCATTTTCCTTCTTTTCCTATACAACTATTGTCATATATCAATAAAAAACAATGATGGGTGATTGCAGGTGTCAGCACCATTATTGATTCTTCATGGAGCTGCAGACAAGGTGACAGATCCATTAGTGAGCCAATTTCTTTATGAAAATGCATCTAGCAAGGATAAGACTTTAAAGCTATATGAAAATGGTTACCACTGCATTTTGGAAGGGGAACCCGATGATAGAATATATGCTTTACATGGTGACATTGTCTCATGGCTTGATTTTAGAGTCAAATAATAAATGCAATATGTCTCAACTGTTAAAATACTAACTACATTTACTTGTGTGATTCAATTTATGGGGTAGCATAATATGTCTACCTTTATTAAGGGATCCATATGAATACAATTTTACATGATACACCCATATTAAAGTAATGAGTTTGATATCACAAGGATAAGAGAGAATATTTCATGTGAAATTCTCCTAATGAGCTTTAAACCGGTAATTATACGTGCTCGAGATATTCAACAATAACATTTTGGTTTAATCGATATAAGACTAGGTGGTGATTAAACGTCGGAAGAGGTGTGAAAATCCAATGTCCATGTTTTTTTTATGCCATCCTATTTTATTGGGAAGTTTTGAGATAAGATATTTGAGAAAATATTCCTTTTTGTTGAAGACATCCTTGAAACTCATGAGACATACTCTCACCGGTAGAGTTAGAGCAAAGGAAATTTTTAACATTTGCTTCAACTTAAGTTTCACATATGTCAAAGATTTCTTAAACATACAAAATATACTGGTTTAGGCAGAAGAAAATATATTCATGTAAAATTGTCGTAATCATTAATAAATGTGACCTTGTTTATTGTGAGTATAAAAAAGTATAGGATACATTTCCCAACCATCACTATGAATCATTTTAAAATAAACGGAAGTCCTATGATCACTATATGGAAGGAAAAAAAAAAGGAGCCTTTTACTTTTATCCAATTTGCAAAGATAACATGAAACATAGGCATTAGAAACACAATTTTTTATTTTCTCAACAAACTAGATTTAAATAAATGAGATAAAAGTTGCAAAGTTTGGATGATTTAATTTTTCATGTGAATTCTTATAAGAATTCAAAATATTATCCTTCATTAAACCGTCATTGGAGAATTCTTGACACCTTAATAAGATACTCATTTATCACCACACATTATGAATAACATACATGATACAAAGAATTAAACTCACCCCAAACAATGCTTGAGGAAATCACTCAAAGCTTACCTAAAGTATCACTGAAGCGACATGAAGCGACACGATCGGAGTCTAGTCCAAGAGATTTAATTTAAAGTTTTGTCTGAGGGTTTGATATAAGTTCTGTTCAAGATGTTCAACGCCTCGTTTGAGGAATTTAGAGTCTCAATCAGGTTCAAAATATAACATCGTTTGAAGGACTTGGAATCCATAAAAAAAAAACTTATAAAAATAAGATTCATATTGTTGTCAGATTATTATCATTTTTATAATCTAATGATGATATTGTGTACTCACAAGAATACAAGATATTTTGAGTATTTAGTTTGTGGTTTAATGTATAATAATGATCAAATTAATTTTAAATGATATTGAAAATATTATCACGCAATAATAATATTTTTCAATAATAAAAAATAGTTATTATTTAAGTTAAAGTTAAATATGTTTGTGTTCCACCTAAATATCTCAATTTCGTTTTTAGCCCTTCAAAATATTTCTTTTAAAGAATGGTCTTCTTAAAAATTTTCATCTACACTTTTGGTCCCTAATACTAAAATTGTCGCTAATTCAGTCGCCAAGAATTAAATTGTTGCTAAAACTGTTGCTAAGTCTTTCACTAAATTGTAAAAATTGTCGCTAATTTGTAAGAGGGACCAAAAGTATAGATAAAAAATTATAGAAAGACAATTCTTTAAAAAAAATATTTTGAAAGACTAAAACCAAATATTGAAATATTTATGAGGATTCACAAACATAAGCCTTTAAGTTATTCTAAAATTTTGATATATTTTTTGAAAAGTTAAAAAATAAATGTTTGTCATATATGTTTACTTCAATAAATATTAAACAAACACGATTTATTTACCAATGCATTGACTATACTATATCATTGGGTTTTTAACACTTGGTTCCCAATCTACGAGGTGGATAACTGTTTAATTCCCAATCTACGATTTTATTCCCAATGCAGTGACTGTTCTATGTTGGGCTTGAAATGTTTAATTCCCAATCTACGATTTTATCTCTTATGATTGTTATTCACCACAACATAGACTCATTATCGCTACTATTACTAATGATGTTCAACCTACATATTATGAACAAGCTAATTACCGTGATACTTTTTCCCCGACTGGTCACAATATGTTGTTTATTAGATTTGGCAGCCTCTCAAAATTGCTTACTTCATCAACTTTATGTCAATAACACTTTTCTTGACGAAGATCTTTCTGAAGAAATTTATATGTGTATCCTCCTGGTTTTCAGCGGCAGGGGAGAATCTTCTGTGTCGCCTCAACAAATTCTTATATGGTTTAAAAAATGTCTCTTGTCAATGGTTTGCTAAGTTCTCTACGGCTATTTAAGGTGTTGGATTTGTTCAGTCCAAATCAGATTACTCATTGTTTACATGTAAGAAAGGCATTATTTACTGCTTATTGATCTATGTTGATGATGTTGTCATAACAATAATGATCCCTACGCCATAGTTGCTCTTACACAGTTTTTAAATAATGAATTCCACATTAAAGATTTGAATGACTTAAAAAGTATTTTTTAGATATAGAGGTTTCTCGGTCAAAGAAAGGTATATTAATTTTGCAAAGAAAATATGCTCTAGAGATTCCAAAAGATGGATGATGTCCGTGAGTCAAGTCTTTGAATTTTCCCATGGAGCAAAATGTAAAATTATTTGATAATGGAGATTTATTGAAAGATTCATCATTATATATGCGACTTGTAGGACGCCTAATTTATTAATTGTTACTTGTTCAGATATCACTTACTTATTGCACATATTGAGTAGATTCATGCACACTCCTCGTAAATCTCTTATGGAAACTGTCATGTGAATACTATGGCATCTAAAGAATAATACATGCCATGTTTAATTTTTCTCTTCCCAAAATAATTTATCTTTGCGCTCTTTTTGAGACTCGAATTGGGGAGGTTGCACAATATCAAAAAAAGCAACTACAGGTTATTGTATTTTCTTGGGATCATCACTAATTTCTTAGAGAACAAAGAGGTCGAAGACAATTTCTCTATCATCAATTGAAGCTGAATATAGAACTATGATAGGTGGATGTTGTAAGTTGTCTTAGTTACGATCACTATTGAAGGATTTGGAGATTTTGCACTCGAAAGAAGCACTGTTGTATTGTGATGATAAAGTAGCTCTTCACATTGCATATGATCTGGTATTTCATGAATAAAATATATTATCATTTTATTTGTGACAGAATTTATGATCTGGTATTTCATAAAAGAACTCGACACATAAAGATATATTGTCATTTTATTTATGACAGAATTTAAGATAGTTTAGTTGCAACGGAATATGTTCCATCTACATCACAAATTGTCACAAATTGTCACGTGTTCACCAAACCATTAGGGAAGGAAATAAAGAGCAAGATAGGAGTTCAGGATATTCACTGAGAGGGAGTGTTGAAAAAGTTAATTGTATCCCATGATTTTTGTTGTAAATATGAAAAAGTTAATTGTATCCAGTGATTTTTGTTGTAAATATGGAAACTCCATTAACATAATAACTTTTTAGGAGTAGATAGCTGAGTTATAGAAGAATCATAAAATTAAAAGATACGTATTTGTATATATTGCTTCTATGTTTCTGAATGAAATCACAACCCTATTATTCTCATATTCTCTTTTAGTTTTACATGACAACCATTTTCTCTTATTTTCTTGAAATTTTCTAACCACTTAAAAAAATTTAACTTGACAAACCATTCCTCTCATTTACTATTGTCTTAAGTCCAAGAAAATTTTAAGATCACATAAACTTCAAAATATACCATAGTTTATCTAAAAAAGAATATCACATAACATGTAATTAATACAATAAATTGTCAATCTAATTATATAACGTTAATCTCTGGCTTTATTGAAAAGTTTATTCAAATATCTCATTATCTCATATTTCAACAAAAATAATACTAGTAATATTTTAGCACCAATAAACCATCATACTTGAAATACAACCGCTCTCTATAATTCAGCTTTTAAACTGTGAAAATATAACTAGTTCATAAATAATTTTAATACATGTAATTAGCTAGTCTATAAACTGTTTATTATATTATTTTTAGTTCAAATATCAAATAGGAAAAAGAACAGTAATTTAAGGACAGAAATGAGAGTTTATTCGATAAAGATCCTTTATAGAAGTCTTTTAAAACCCTAATTTTATGAAGTACTGGCAGAACTTTATAAGAACTAAATAAAAGACAAACAAATAGAATCCCTTAATTAATGCATAACATCACTATAACAATAGTATATTCTTTGACAATTGGGGCTGTGTTCATTTTGCTGCAGTATTGTCAAACATTTCAGTTCTGGTCCTTCCTGATCATTTCATCCCAATTACCATCTCAATGCGAATTCTCCAAGCAGTTCTGGTTCTTCTAACATTTGTTAACATTAAATAACTATAACCAAACCAATATAACGTGTTCACAAACTTTTTGATTTCATTGAAAAAATCCAAATTTCCAATGTCCTATCAGTATTAGTTCTACCCCAAGTAATTGTTCATACATCAGCATGCTGCACTTTCGCATGCATATATTCTTAAATACTTGTTCATTCAGTCGCTAAAATCTAATAGAGTGATTGAGACAACCCTATAAGTAAAAATTTGGCAAAAAAATATATTGTACCGAAATGAATTTCAACCTATCAAACTCACATGAAAAGCATATCTTAAAAAATCAACCCAAAGAAATTGTTCATTATTACTGCCTCCAATCTTCACCAGCATAAACTGCTTGATCTCCAAGCTCCTCCTCAATCCGAAGTAACTGTTACAAATATCAGATTGTGGTTATACTTTACTTTTACTTTGGAAAAGGATGTAAATAATTTTGAATTGGCCATAATGTGTAACAATGCAGTAAGAACATCAGCATAAGAGGTGGAAAGAGACCTGGTTGTACTTTTCTAACCGCTCTCCTCTGCAAGGAGCTCCTGCTTTAATCTGACCTACAGCAAGGCCAACAGATAAATCAGCTATGAAAGAGTCTACAGTTTCGCCACTTCTGTGAGATGTCACCACCCCCCAATGGGCTTCCTTTGCCTGCTTCACTACTTCAATGACCTCTGTAACAGTTCCAACTTGGTTGACCTGGATTACAATGGCAAACAATCACATTTTCGTGTTTTTTTCTTCAACAAAGTAGAAGGGGAGTACAAAAGAGGAGGATTAAAATTTAAAATGAGTGTCCATATGAAATAGAGAAAAAAAAAAGTGCAAACACAATGACAAAACTAAAGTACAAGCAATCTATGACTATATGTAAATCTTTTTCTCTTTCATATAAATTAAACAAGATTTGTAACTTGTGGTCTTATATTTTTCTCTTTCATGCGAACGAGCTTTGTAATTTGTGATCTTGTATTCACACACAAAAAAGAAAAACAACCTTTCCAAAGTTTGTAGATATTCAATGCCTCAACTTAATTATGAAACAGGAATAGCTTCTATTCCATCAACAGATAAGATTTAGCATTTATATTATCAAAAATGAAAACCTCAAATTAAAACAAACTGAGAGATGAAATTGAATTTATTATTAGACAAAGCAACCCCTTGAGAGTTCATTGAAAATATATTCAGTTACCTTAAGAAGTAGAGCATTACAAGCAGACTCAGTTACTGCTTTCTCAATGCGCTTTGTATTTGACATCAAGAGATCATCCCCTACTACCTGCAGAATCATTCAAATGAAGGGAAATTATATCAACTGAAGTTATAATTAGTTGTATTAAATAAGTCACCTTATCAATGCTCAACCACTGCAAGGTGACAAAAAAATTATTTTATTTTATTTTCGTCCCTTTCCAACAGAACCTGTTAATGTGTCTATATGGCATTGCTACACTAATTAACCTACTAATGTTCATTAAAATATCCCATAACCTCCAAAACAGTAATGCCTGCTTGAGAGTAAAGAGAGCCAATCTTTGGCTGCACAGCTGAACTAGGAAAGATTGAATGCTACTCATTAACTCCAACAAACTATTAGCTGCTTAACAAATACTCCCTCTATTTCTTTTTAAGGGATGGTTTTTTAAATAAACTATAGAAATATGCTTTTTCTATATTATTTATTCTGTAACATAGTACATGAGTATTTATAGAATATAAATTACACTAAGAAATAGGGGTAATTATTCTCCCTATAAATGCTAATCCTAAATAAGGTAAGAATATAATAATACAATTAATTTCTATTTAATCACAATTTGAATCCAGCCATAATGAGCTGTATGACAGAATCTGTTTTGATTTTGTGCTAATATTCAACACTCCCCCTCAAGCTGGCATGAATATATCGTTCATAGCAAGCTTGCACACCATGTTATCAAACAGTCTCTTTGGAAGACTCTTTGTGAGAACATCTGCTACTTGACTTTTGGTAGGTATGTAGGACATACAAATCTCACCGCTGTCAACTTTTTCTTTGATGAAATGCTTGTCCACTTCAACATGCTTCGTCCTGTCATGTAGGACAGGATTATGGGCAATAGAAATAGCAGCCTTATTATCGCAGTAAACTTTAATTGGAGTTGGGCCAAAGAACTTCAATTCTTCCATGAACTTTTTGATCCATAATACTTCACAAAAACCATGGGCCACAGATCGGAATTCAGCTTCTGCACTGCTCCTGGCTACAACATTTTGTTTTTTGCTCCTCCATGTAACTAGATTTCCACCTACAAAAGTACAATATCCTGAGGTAGACCTTCTATCATTTATATTACCTGCCCAATCAGCATCTGTATAGGCTTCAACCTGTATATGTCCTCTATTTCTGAATATCAGCCCCTTTCCCGGAGTACCTTTCAAATATCTTAATATTCTGAAAATAGCTTCAAAGTGGGCTGCACCTGGTGCATGCATAAATTGGCTTATTACACTCACTGCAAAGGCTATATCTGGCCTTGTATGTGACAAATAAATTAGTCTTGTCTCCACCTCGTTGATTATGAAGTGGTTTACGATTGACATGGGGAATTGCCAAGGCAGATCCTTCAACTGGTGGAGGGACAGCTGCTGTATTTTTTCCAAGCATCACTTGCCGACGACTCTCTTCGCGACGTACTTCTGAAAAGACTTCACCAATTGGAGGGATAGGATTTCTGCCTAGAATTCGGCCACGAACCTCATCAAAATCAACATTTAGACCCGCAAGGAACTTGAAAACACGACTAACATCCACCATCTTCTTGTAATGTTTGCTATCGGCAGGTGATTTCCACTCATACTCATTGAAAAGGTCCAAATCTTGCCAAATACGTTTGAGACAATTGAAGTATTTGGTGACTGAATCTTCACCTTGCCGAATTTCTCCCAATTTGAGAGTTAATTCGTAGATTTGGGATTGATTTTCCAAATCAGAGTACATTTGGGAGACACCTTCCCAAAGTTCTTTTGCAGTATCATAACAGAGATAATTTGCACCTATCTCTTCATCCATGGAGTTGACTAACCATGTCATGACCATGGAGTTTTCAGCATCCCATGTATCATAATCTGCACCTGCCTTGTCTGGTTGTTTTTTGTCGCCAGTAATGTAGCCAATCTTTCCTCTCCCCCTGAGATACATACGAACGGATTGCGACCATCGAAGATAATTAGCACCGTTCAGCCGAATTGTTGTGATCTGAACAGGGTGGTTTTCATGGTACGTTCGGACTAATTTAGGTTCGGGTGAGGAATGTTTGGGTGAAAGTGAGGACTCGGTATCAGACATTGTGGGATGTAAAAAAGATAAACAGAGCGGAAGCAAAAACAAAAAAAAACCCTAAAGGATTCTTGTTGCTACTGATACCATATAGAAATATGCTTTTTCTATATTATTTATTCTGTAACATAGTACATGAGTATTTATAGAATATAAATTACACTAAGAAATAGGGGTAATTATTCTCCCTATAAATGCTAATCCTAAATAAGGTAAGAATATAATAATACAATTAATTTCTATTTAATCACAATTTGAATCCAGCCATAATGAGCTGTATGACAGAATCTGTTTTGATTTTGTGCTAATATTCAACATAAACAATATTATTTATTTCTCATATTCAAAGTTTAATGTTACATCAATTTGTTATTTTGTCAATTATAACCTTTAACTATTGCAGGGACAGAAAATGGAAAAATGAACTGTCAAGGGTATAACAAAAAAAAAAGACTAATAATAGCATAAAATACAAAAACCTTAAAAGACACTTAAAAATGAATGGAGTAAAACTTGACATATTCCAATAAAATATTAACTTTTCAATAAGTGATATACCTGGCAAATTCCAAGACTTGAGATGTACTTGATATGTTCCCAATCTTCCTTGTCAAATGGATCTTCTATCGATACAATTGGGTATTCTACGAATTCAGAAAGAAAGATAAAAATAAATATGTAGCAAAGCCTAAATAATTTATAAGAACCTCATTAGAAGAGGGGGTAAGATAGACTGATTTACCCGCACATAGTTCCTTGTACAACTCTATCATATCCTCTGCTGACTTAAAATTCTGTCCTGACTTTTGAGGAGATTGAAAGTCCAGATCATATCTTTTGCCTGTTTTTGGGAAAAGCAGGCATAGAACAGCATAAACTGGTTAACAATGAAAGATAAAAGGTGCCAAGAAGCACTGGAGGTTTATTAATGCTTTGACGTGAGAGATGTCTTACGAAAATAAAGGTGTTGTTGATATTATAAGAATACAACAGTGGAATATGTTTATTACTTTCAATAAAACTAATTAACAACTCCAGCAGAATATTAGTGATTAAAATGAAATATGATAATAATTTAATGACAAGCTCAAAAGATTGAAGTTCATAACCATTATGTATTGTGCTTAAACCTACAACCTATTTACCTTCCATTCATCTCTTACACTTCCAAACCTTAATTCCCTCTCTAAATTTTGAATTGTGTAAACCAAAAATAACTCTAAATGGAATAGAAATATATGGACAATCAAGATATTGTTAAGAGTCCCACATGGGATGAAATATGGTATGAACATATGTTTATAAGTGGGGCCAATCCTGAACTTACAAGCTGGTTTTGTAATGTTGAATTTGGCTCAACCCAAACACTAAGATGGTATCACCGTTAGTGGTAGACTTTGTAATTCATAGCACTATTATTAACACATAAGATTACTTTTTTACAACTCTAAGCTAGACTAATATTGTTTTGCAATGACAGAAAACTGAACCAAACTACTTTTATTTTTTTGAAATAATGATGTAAACAGTTTATAACACTGCTGAAAGACAGTTAAGAGCTTGCAATTCCTAACCTTCAGGATTAGTGAAATGGGGTTTATTCATCGGTAGAGTTTATTGAAAGCAAAGAAAAAGTTACACAAAGGATTTTAATTCCCTCTCACAAGAGCACTCTCTAGTTTACAAGCTCCAGTTAAAAGAATTCCCAATTCGCCATAGTGAAGTGATCTTTATTTATAATACATAGGGTCAACTTCACAACAATAAGTAAACTATCCTAACTATTCAAGAGTTTACAATGTTCCCCATTTTTCTATAATAAACATTAATAATCATATTCCTACTAGAGGGTTCCTTTGAGCTCCTAAGAGTTTCTCATTATAAGAGCAATAAACAATGATAAGGTATCCAAGAACCAACAAATTCCATCTTCTCAAGAATCTAAAACCAAATAAGAGACAAAATTATAATTACCTACCAATACAAAAATTTGTAGCAGCAACATCAAGCGCAATCTTTATTTTCTCATCATAACCGGTTCTACTAATGGCCTCCTTTACAAGATCCAGGGCTTCTCTAAAGCTGGTGATAGTTTAAATGTCAGCTCAAAAGTAGAAATAAGATTATAACATCACAACATCTCTGGAAGTAATCATTTTAGAATGAAGACTTGCTTGGTAATACAACATTACCCTTTCATAAAAACAAGTGATTTATACAAAATAATAAAAATACTTTGATATGAAAACTATGGTGGCTTAAATTTTTTTAGATGAAGTATTCTGACTAATAGTAATAAAAAGTGAGTGGATAAACTTCATACAATCCCCTCTAATATACTCCCTCCGTCCCACAATGAGTGACCCATTTGGAATAAAAAAGTGTCCCAAAATGAATGACCTATTTTAATTTCCAATGCACCTTTTCCAATTCTACCCTCTAATTAATATTATTTTCATCATTTTCAATACTTGATAAGGGATACTTTAGTAAAAATATCATTCTCTCTTTTATTTATTCTTTTTTCTTAATATGTGTGAAATGGTCAACTGGGTCACTTACAGTGGGACGGAGAGTGTATTAAATTAGAGAATACTTTCTTGAGAGTAATAAAATCTGAGTGTACTTTTCCTCAAATAATGACATGTCATTCTTAACTTCTTCTAAACTTTAAACATAAATTATTTTGAATCAATTAAGCATGCATTTGTTGTAACTTAAATTTTTAAACACTTTTTATTCTAAACTTCGGCACTAACATGTGTCTTTAGAGCACATGCTAATAAATTGAATATAAAAATTGTTTTTTTCAACACAATTTCTATTTTAGGTTCCTTAATATGTGCCTGTTAGCAAGACCTCTAAACTTTTTAGAGCCTGCATAGATTAATTATGCACATCTCCTATGTAATTTTGAAGATTTTCCTTTTAAACAAATTTCTCTTTTAATTTAGATTTTACCTTAATTTAAAATAATACCCTACAATACAAGTGCATACAGATTAGGTCTAAGAAACTGCATTCATCAAGTAGAATTAAAAATAACATGCAGTAGTCCAATAGTTACCTCAGAGCAAGTGAAATTAAGAAGCAAAATACAAATAGAATGTTTTCTTACAACATTTCCTAAAATATATCCATAATCATCTAGAAGTTGTGATTTGATTGAGATTAAGAGAAAGAAAGTGCACTGTTCTCGCGTTTTCCTTCTCCAATTCCAACGCTAAATCCCTTATTTATTTCTCTAATTTGTTTGTGCGAGCAAGTCGTCGACAAATCTCAACACACCAACATTTCTTCGTAACTCGCAAGTAACACTTATAAGTTGTAACTTCTAATTCCATTGTTTTAGGATCTTGCATGCCCCATCAATCTCATTCTAACTTCCTTCAATTTCTTACTTTGCTCTTTTCAGAATAGTGAAAAATAGTAACACCCTCGATTATTGCTTCCAGCATTTCTCATTTTCTATCTAGGACTCATTTTCTTCTTCAATAAGCTTACAAAGGTATCGACCTTACTCAAATCTCTATCTGGGTGGGTCTGCTTCATTTCACTTAATATTTTACTAAATACCAGAGATATTATATATTCAATAAACCAGATAATAAAATAAATTAGCAACCAGCTTCACTGTTAAGACTCATCAGTCATCATATTAGATAATACTGTATATACTGTATAAAGCAGCTTTGGAGGTGTTTTTTTTTTTTCCTTTCTGCTAAAACAGTTTTTTGATTTGATACCATTCATTTAAAAGTAAAGAATTTTAAAAAAATTGCACAAATCCAAAGAATTTAACATAAAAAGCTTGCCTGGAGACATTTGGAGCAAAGCCACCATCTTCACCAACATTACAGTTATGTGGCCCACATTTTTCTGTAATAACGGCCTGCCCTTTTGTCATGAACAATACAAATAAATGCATCAGCTTAAACAACATATCTCAAAGTGATGGCAATAGGAACTGCAAGCAGCAACAAAAGTGATGGCAATAGGAACTGCAAGCAGCAACAAAAGTAATGGCAATAGAAGTAACAGCATAAGATATAAATCAATGTAAGAGAGCTGAACAGCATCACAACACTAATGAACTTGACATTATTCTAGCATAGGAACATTACCAAGCGCGAGATTTATTATAAAAGATATCTAGTCATAAAAATAAAAATAAAATACTGAAAAAAATAGGATTGTGAAAAAAGAAGGCAAAATCACCTTTAAATGATGATAGGTCTCAGAGCCCATTCGCAGTGCTTCCTCAAATCTGCTTGCTCCAATTGGAAGAATCATGATTTCCTGTAACAATATGTAAAAAAGCTTTCACATTTGAAAGAATTTAAATCTATGAAGCAGCAAGGGAAACATATAGATCTAATAGTAATTATATCTATTGATGGTTAAAGGTCAGATTAAGAACAAGTATCTTTAGAGGAACTAAGAGACATAAGATAACTGAAACACTATGGGGAATTTCTGAGAAATTAATCAGCAATAAAAACTATACCTCAATGGCCAGATTATTTCCAGCATGTTTTCCCCCACTTATAACAGTAAAGGCAGGAACAGGAAGCATTGGGCTAGATTTTCCAGACAGGTCAGCGATGTGCTTGTACAGTGGAACCTGATATTTTTTGTTTTTACATTCGTGATAACTTGACAGAACAAATATACTTATAAGCAGATTAAATTTTAAAAGAACTTAATAAAAATATCAAATGACAAGCCATACATCCTTTTCAGCGGCCCCAGCTTTACATGCAGCAATTGACACGGCTAATATAGCATTTGCTCCAAGTTCCCCCTGCAAACAAATCAGAAACAAAACAGATGAAAAAATTATTAAAAGTAAAGAATTAGATTGAGCTGTCTATTCAAACATGTATGTCTTATAGGAATATGTTAATAATGTATGTCATAAGAATTAATAACACAGACTACTTTCACCAAGGTGCGCAGATGAAAACAAAAGAAGGGGAATAAATCACTTAATATTGTGGATTATTTTTACTCGACTAAACTGTTGTATTTTATTTTTACTTGAGCTAATATAAAAGATATAATTATAAAATCCCATCATTTAATCCTACTTCATATAATATCAATTTTTTATAGAGCCCTTCTCCAAAAGCCAAAAAATATCTCCTAATATGCACTTTGTTAAAGAGATTAAAAAAAACATAAAGGATAGAGAATAGAGCAGTGTTACTTACTATTGACCAATTTTATAATAAAAATGGCAAAGTTTTATATTAGTTACCCACCACCAAACAAAAATGCATCTCAAGTTAACTACAATATGTCATAGATAAATGTTTGTGAGACTTCTTTTCCTTTCCACGTAACAAAAATAAAATGTTAACTTTGATGATCTGTGTCGAGTGCATCACTATAACTAAACAATGCTAAAATTCCCATCCTGCCTGAACAAGAGTGGGAGAGAAATAACAATAACAACGACCAAGTTTTATCTCACTAGGCAAGTCAAGCTTTTTTCCCTACTCAGTTTCCAAATTTGTCTTAAAATGTAACATAACAGAAGCATTGATATAACAATAAGCAATATGGATTTAACTTTTATCTACCAAATAAACTTATGCTCACCCAGCAGAAAGATGTTAACATACCTTCTTCTCTGTTTTGTCCAGGTCGATCATAGCATGATCAATCTGTGACTGCAGTGTTGGATCCATACCAATCAGTGCCTCAGAAATTTTTTCATTTATATTTTTAACAGCTTTAGCAACACCGTTTCCTAGATATACACCTTTGTCACCATCCCGTAACTCAACAGCCTCATACCTGAAATGAATCATCAAACCAAACAGTCATTCTTAATTCAATTCTACAATTGATCAATTAAAATGATCAACTGCCTAGCATCAGGAAAAAAAGAAAAAAAGACCAACATGAGCAGAAAGCTGAGCCCAATCAAAGAATCGCCTACACATGGCAATGCAGTTTACATTCACAAATTAGCCCTGCCACATTAGTGAGGCAGTTCCGCATAGAAAGTTAGGACAATGAACTATCTTGTTCAGAATTGTCAAATGCAGATCGCAGAAAATAATAGTTTGTAAAAATTTTGCTATGCTATAATGATATAGCACCACTATAGCCTAACAGCACTTGTACTACCTATATTTGACAGCCCTTTGTACTAACTGCCATGGTTTTAAATTGTGGCCCGCATCCATAATTGTGGCTGCAATATTGCTGATGCGGCGGTCTCCACAACAGCATCGGACCGCAATTGCAGTGTGATTTAAAATCATGTTTTCGGCCACATTAGGAACTTGCATCAGACAACTTTGTCCATATTCTTCAAGTATTTTCATCACAAATGTAAATTTCAAAATCTCAAAATTCAATTTACTTTCTGATGAAATGAAAAATCTTAACATTGAGTATTTTTCAATGGTGTATTTCAATCATCTTCCAATCAAAAATTCACGCCGCAACGGCCGCAATGCGCATCGCAGCAACCACAATGACCACAATCGCAACTCGTGCAAACACAATCGCATCCACAATTTAAAACCATGCTAATTTATCTACTCCGGAACAATATTGATTTGTTCAAATTCTACTCAGCTATAGCTTCTGTCAATAACATTAACAATCCATTATAGAAACTTATACTACCAATATACACAACTATTACTAAATCAATGGAAAATCAATTTGAATGCATCTAAACAGATGATAATTAATAGCTTACATGCCAGAGGAGTTGCCGGAGGGAACAGAAGCACGGAACATAGCTTTGTTAGTATATAAATCGACTTCAACAGTTGGAATTCCTCTACTATCAAGAATTTGTCTCGCTTTCACTTTGGTGATTACCGATTGTACTCCTTTTTTCATATGATTCGACTGCGTTCATCATCAAAAACCCTCGAAATTAACATTCGATTAGAAATTTCGATCATAAAAGCATATAGAAGATAAAAAAAAATGGAAGATGATTGAGAGGGAGAAAGAGAGAGATACGAACGATGAAGAGAATGGGATCGGTGGTTTTGGCTCTGACGGCGGCATTGACGGCATCTTCGAGTTTACGGGAAAGCGTGTATTTGTCGAGATATTCTTGCACTGACATTTCTTCAACTAACTTCTTCTTCTTCTTTCACGATCTCGTGATTGAGATGAGGTCAATGTTGGTTGTTATTGTTGCTATTGATATTGTTTGCTTTCTTCCACTGAGATTCAGTGCTGCCAGCTTAGTGTCCAGAACGGTTTCTCGTAAGACGTCGTCGTATCCTATCTGTAGCTTAATTGATTTTGCTTCTATCACTTGCCCAAATTTTTGTATTGCAAACTTTATCAAACTTTCTAGTAAAAACAAAAATATTTATCAATTTTTGGGTTATAAAAATAATGATAAACAATGGCAATAGTTAGAATTTTTTTTTTAAGGTAGCAATGTATTAATTTTTATTTACCAAACAAATTAACATTTCAAAAAAAATATCAAAATGGCAATGTTTGGAATTAGGCTAACAGACGTTCGCCAATTGGTTTGGCGAATTAGGCTAACAGCAAGTGATTCGCCATTTGGTTTGGCGAAAGGGAGTATTTTAGGGTTTGTTGCATTTTCAATTTCCTTTTAATTATTATATAACATATTTTCGTTTTCATATTTTAAAATTTAATTGTTTTTTAATTTTAATTTTAATTTATTTTTTTGATTTAAGTTATTATTATTATTAACCATAAAAAATATAAATTTATAATCTAATTAATATTTATATAATTAATATTAATATTAATTTATAATATAATTTTTAATGTCATCTATAATATTAAAAAAATTAAGTTTAAAAGTTTAAATTATTTTATGAAATTATATAACATATTTTCGTTTTCATATTTTAAAATTTAATTGTTTTTTAATTTTAATTATTATTATTATTATTAACCATAAAATATATTAATTTATAATGTAATGAATATTAATATAATTAAAATATATTCGTAAACATAAAGTGATAATAAAATAAAATTATATTAATTTATAATGTAATTAAAAATACACGAACAAAAATATAAATATAATGAAAATTACAAAAAAAAAACCCTAATGATCGGCTCTATCCAAGTGACCACCGGTGCCACACTGTGGGGGACGCGTGTTGCGACGAGGTCTTCGACGATGTTGTTGTGGTGTGTCAGGATGCTGTGTGTTGAGTTGTGGTGGAGGGTTCTGTTGGGACGGCCCCGGCGTATCAGCTAGATCTTGTATCATTTGACCCCAATAGCCGGGAGGTCCCATGTCACATGCACTTCCGTAGTCAAGGGCAATGCCCATGTTTTGGTACGATTGTCGGGGAGGGTGGGTGGAGTATGGACGATATGGTTGTCCGAAAGTGTACATGGAGTTGGGTTGGTCTAGGTGTGTTGGTTGTTGTGGTGTGTGGTAGTTAAATAGTGGGTGGTTGGAGGTGTAGTTGGAGGGGGTAGGGTCGAATGAGTTTTCCGGGATATAGGTGGCAGGGGTAGGATCAAAAGACATATCAGGGCTGTACTAGTGAGTTGGTTGAGACTGAGATTGGATTGGTGGCATGTAAGGTGGTTGTTGTTGATAGGGGGTATATGTTGGCATGGAGTGGGGGGTGTCTTCGTATGGTGGTTGTTGTTGATGGTCTTCGTACGGTGGTTGTTGTTGATGGGGGGTGTCTGTTGGTATTTGTGGGTATGATGAAGAACCGCGTTCCCTTGGATCGGACAAGTAGGTTGGCTGGGACAGGAAAGGCTGGGTTGTCGTGACAGAACTAAACCAAGTCATATATTGAAGACTTGGCCTAGCCCCGTGCACAATACTGTCGGTTAAGACGTATTGCCTTCTTCTTTTCCAAAGTACACGCAACTCCTTTGCAAACTCCTTCCAATCACCAATCATCCACTGTGCGTCCACCCGTTTTTGATGCCACTTCCCCAAGTCTACGGGAGCATCTGGAATATCTTGATGCATCCCAAATTGGAGTTTGACCCGATCACTTTGGTGCATCTCCACCGTAGTGAACCTAATTATAGGTGTCTTTGCTGTCCACACAGCGGCATCGTCGGGGTTGGGCTGGTGGTCGAGACCCTCGTACGGCATCCAGACAAACTACAATATAGTTATAAAATTTAGTTAGACAGGATGTCTGAAGTTTATGCATATACATTAAAGAAAATTAGGGTAAATAGGTTACATCGTTTGGCCCAAGGTGGTCGATTAGGTTGCGGTATTGAATTATAGAGTGCCTTGGACATTTCTCATAATTCATCCCGGGTACAGACCACCTAAAAAAACAAACACAAGTTATAAAGTATTAACTGAAATAGAATACGTAGCTGGCAAATAATGTTGAAAAGATACTTACTTTTTTCCGTAGGGGAAAGTAAAAGAATTTCTGTTTATTGGAGCAAGCAGTGGCATCCTCGACCAACCTCAAGCTTGCAAAAGATAGGCACAACCATAAAAAGTACAAGAATTTTTTTTGGACGTCTTACAAAGTGCGCTATATAGATGGGCGAGGACTGCTGATCCCCAGCTATATTCACACACTTTGTTGATATTACGCAATAATGGTAAATACATGGTATGAATTGTATTTCCAGTGCCGTCTGGAAATAAAAAGTGGCCAAATAAAATCATAATATAGCACCGAGTTTTTTGTATTTTCTCATACTCGGTGCTCTCATCCGTTAAAACAATACCGTTGTATTGTTCTCTCAGGTATTTTAAGTTAATACCCTGACCCCTCGGGCGGCCCTTGCTTCCTGCCTGAGGTCCGTCCTCACAAAGAGGGGCGCCCAATAAATCTTCACAAAGTTGGTCAGGGACACCAACTTTGCCGTTGACGGCCTTACCATCAATGTGTAGGCCGAGCAACATATAAACATCCTGGAGAGTCACCGTACACTCACCACAAGGAAGGTGAAATGTATGTGTCTCCGGTCTCCAGCGTTCTAACAACGCTAGAATAAATTTTGTGTCAAGGGTATAAGATTTGATTTCGATCACACGCCCAAACCCACAATGTATAAGATAGTTTGTAATGAGGGGGTCGTGTGGTATGTAGTCATGCACACGGCACCGAAACCTTGATACATCCTGCAAAATAATGAAGTAAAATTACTATAGTGTTTTACACAAAATTACTATAGTTTTTTTTGGACAAAATGGTAAGACATTGACATGAACTAAAGGACTTACAAACTCGGCGATGTTTTCAGCCGTCCCTCTATGAGAATCACCCATGGTTAGTACAGACATTGTTGAGGATTGGGAGTTTGAAAGTTTCAGACTTTGGGAGGTTGCGAGTTTGAGAGTAGGAGAGTAAGAGAGTAGGAGAGTAAGAGAGTAGGAGACTTTAAGTGTGAGTAGAATTTGATGGGTACATACCCCATATTTATATTCCAAGGGTGGATATGTTTTAAGTGCATGCTTGAAACTTGTGATGAGATATGTGTTGTGTAAGTGCATGCTGAGCACTTGGCGTGACATATATGTTGTGTGGGTGCATGCTGACCACTTGGCATGACAAATGTGTTGTGTGGGTGCATGCTGAGCACTTGGCATGACAAATGTGTTGTGTGGGTGCATGCTGAGCACTTGGCATGACAAATGTGTTGTGTGAGTGCATGCTGAGCACTTGGCGTGACAAATGTGTTGTGTGGGTGCATGCTGAGCACTTGGCATGACAAATGTGTTGTGTGGGTGCATGTTGACCACGTGGCGTGACAAATGTGTTGTGTGAGTGCATGCTGAGCACTTGGCGTGACAAATGTGTTGTGTGGCACAAGACGGGAACAACAACATTTTCCCGATAGCCTTCGCCATAGTTGAAGGGGAGACTGCTGGGGGTTGGAGTTTTTTCTTAAAAAACCTACGGTCATACGTGTCTCCCCAACCTAACTTATGTTTGATCTCCGATCGACACCCATCCATCGAGAGTGCTTACAACAACCATGACAACGGTTGGCAGGATCCTCCATCGACCCACGTCTACTGCATAAGGCATATTGCCCAAAATTTCATGAGGGAGATCAAAGACAGGACGCTGCGGAAGAAGGTTGTGAACGCAGGGTATGCACTAACTGAACCAACATTCAGATACTACCGTGACGAGATTAGACTGAACAACGCGGATGCATTAAGATGGATTGACGGCATTGATAGGGAGAAATGGACGCGAGCATACGACAATGGGGTGCGATGGGGCCACATGACAACCAACCTCGTCGAGTCAATGAATTCTGTTTTCAAGGGAATTCGAAACCTCCCAATAACTGCGTTGGTAAAGGCAACCTATTTTAGGATGGGATCACTTTTTGATAGCAGGCGTGCGAAGTGGGGTTCGGTATTACAATCGGGTCAGCTGTACAGTGACACTGCAATGAAATTCATGAAAGACGAAGCTGCCAAAGCCAACACCCACGTGGTCACAATATTTGACCGTACAGCTGGTTGGTTCAGTGTTGCCGAGGCTATAGATCACAATGAAGGAAGGCCCAGGGGATGTTATCGTGTTGAATTAGATAAGAGCTGGTGTGATTGTGGAAAGTTTCAAGCATTCCGAATGCCTTGCTCTCATGTCATAGCAGCTTGTTCGAAGGCGCGCCAGGACCCAACCAACCTTCTTTCTTCAGTTCACCAAGTCATAAGTCTATGCAATGTCTACTCATGCAGTTTTCAGGTGTTGGCAAAGGAGGACTATTGGCCCGAATACGAAGGCCAAATTGTTTGGCATAATGACTTGATGCGCAGAAAAAAGAAGGGTCGGCCTAACAGCACGCGCATACGAACCGAGATGGATACCTCGGATAAGCTAGTGAGATTGTGTAGTTCGTGTCGGCAACCAGGACACAATCGTACGACGTGTCCAAACGTTGGTCCGAGCAGCAGATCATAGTTTCATTTGTAAACGTGTCCATTTAAATCAAAAGTAACTTTCATTTGATTAAAATCAAATTTCATGCTATTACAGGCAGAGGTAACTGCAAATTTCCTTCTATTACAAGCAGAGTTAACTTTCATAAATTAAACAAACATAACAACAAATTAAAAACATACACCAAAACACCGGAACAGAGCGTCTACGATATCACGAC